TTCATACATTTATTCCAATTTCCTTTTCTCTCTATAGCTCCATCTGACAGGCAGATGTAACCATTAGATAAACCCCACATGTGATAGCGTTCATTATGGAACCATACTATAAACAAGAACACTTTTTACTTGCTATTCCTCATTGAATATATATCAACATCTCCATTTTCATAACTTGTAAGTACCCCAAACTGCTAAGTATTTACAGGGGCTTTAGGTTCCAGAGCCCAGTGGAATTCAAATTCAGTGTGAACCACAGAGACCATACAGTAACTTGGAGAATCAGCTGGGTTTACATCTGAACGAGTCATCCTGGGCACAAGTGCTGCACCGTGCAAGGTGCAGGGGACAGAGTGTGCTGTGGTGTGGTGTCTCTAGGTGGAAGCAGCCAATTCTTTTGCCTTGGGGCAGCTCTTTCTACCATCCCCATATTGCTTCCCGATGCTTAGTTTTTCATGAAATTCAAAATAGCACAAACTCTATTCTACTAGAAGGAATCTAGAAAGAATATGCAGCTGCTCCAGTTCTAGCCCTCCTGCTAATCTGGGCTATTAGGCTCTGCGGCCTTGGAGATTCTGTAGGCTCCTTAAGACTTTGGTTTCCTCATCTTTAAATGAGACAGTTGGACAAAGTGATTTCTAAAGTCCTTTCCAATTCTGACATGCTGTCATGAAAATAGCTCCTTTTTGTTCTCTTTTCAAGATACTCACAGTAGTCTTAGTTCATGGTGGTCTCTCTTCCACTCTCCCAGAAAAGGGTGGGCCCAGGGCTCCATGCCAGGCCACACACATGCCTTNCTGTGTTGCCTGAGAAAGGAAACCTGTGAACTAGTAAGCACAGTGCTCAGAAAGGCATCTTCCTGTAGGCTGTAGGATGAAATACAACATACAGTGGTAGAAAGGGCATGGATTTGGGACTCAGATAAACCTGGACTCAAATGTTGTCACTGCCCATATACCAACTATGTGATCTCGGAAAAGTGACTTCACTTGTTTAACCTCCATTTTTCTTAACTATAAAATGTGCTGAACAATATCTACCTCAAGGGACTGTCACATATAAGACCTGCATTTAATCTCCTCCCAAGGCTTATATGGGAGGATATATGAGAAGTCCCCCAGAGAAGCCTAAGTCTCCCCAACCCTGATGAGTCTCAATCGCCCACCAGAGTGGGCTTGTCCATGAGGCCTAGGAAGACCTCAGAGCATGAGCTAGAGGGGAGAGGAGACCACCAGGCCCATGAAAGGCTGCCTTATTATCGGGGTAGATGAGGGCGTTGGCAACAAACCAGCAGCGGAAAGGTGCATTAGTGGAGGGACCCAGCTGCTGGTTGGAGTAGGATTGTGAATTGCAGACTCCGAAGATGCTCAAAGTCACATGGCAGCAGGCAGGGAGATGCTGGGACTGGGAACATGGTCTATCCCACGGGGGTCGATGAGAGCTAATTACAGTGTCAAGGCCTCAGCAAAGCCACCTGGGGGATTCAGACAGGACACTAATCCCAGGAGGGAGCCAGAGTGACAAAAAATGAGCTGAGGAAGATCAGTCACACAGGCGCCTGTGGAGTGCTTGGGGACAGATGAGTGCAGCTGACTTGTGGCTGGGTGGGGTTCAACCCTACACCTCATGTCCACTGGGAGGCCCAAGTGGAAGGAACCATGACCCAGCGGCACTGTCACCGACAGGCTCTGCAGAGCCTCACGGAGGAACTCCTTTGGGTTGTAACTTGCTGAACCCGCCGAGCAGGCCCTGGGGTCCTCTAACCACCATCGCTGGAGGGAAAGAGAGCAGGGGAGTCAGGCAGGTTTGTCACTGCTTCTCCATCAAGAAAGGCCAGAAGCTTGATCTGCCAAACTCTCCTCTCTTTTCTATCCTTTCAGTGAAATTCGGCCCAGCTCCACCGTGCAGTGGGAGGAAGTGTGTCGGCCTTGGGTCTCGGGCCCGCGGAAGCTGATAGCCAGCTTGGCCAGCGACTCCCTGCGACATGTGTACGGCGAGCTGGACCTGCAGATTCAAAGACGGTCCTCCGTGTAAAC